AAAGGTTATGTAACCACTGTTCCTATGGTGACAAGTTTACATAGATCAGTCAACTATGATCACATCAGATGTTAGACTGACAGTGAACAGTTTGATCATATTGAGAATATGACGCAGCATCAGATAAACATCCAGCTCAGTATTCTCAGTAATATTAGACTATACCATGGATGTAGCAGGTTGTAATTAGCTTAGCATTAAGCAGCAGGTGAATGAACATAAGTACTTTGTGTTCTGAGTAATTTCACTTACTGACTTGTGTCGAACAAATGAAGCCACATTGGAAACATCCATTCAGAGGAAAAGCTGAAGCTAAGAGGCTAGGCTATGAAAACGTAGCTAAGCTAACTTTCACTTCCTGCAGCCCAAGCTGTCCCAGTGTAACAGACTGACTCAGTCATGTTTCTGTGTAAATACATCACAGATAAAGAAAGTGTCAGAAGAGTAAATGATGAATGAAAGGATGTTTTCTGTCTTTTCATCTTTACTAATGAACCATTTAATTCACTGAGCAGCTCAGAGGCTACCGGCAGCTACGGCCATCTTTTAAGGTGGAATGTTTTCTTGCTTGTTATTCAATGCATGATTGATGTTTGGAAATCTATCAATATACCTTAAATGTAAATATTTAATATGTATTGATTAGCTCTCTACATGACATATGCTTTAGTGAGGATCTGATCTTCAAGCTCTTAAAAATGTAAATAAACCTGCAGATAACATCGAGCTGCTTCTTCCCCTTGAGGTTATAAAAGCTGAAATGCAGTTCAAATGTTAGCTGTATAAAAAAAAAATTGATAAATAAAACAAATTATAATTTCATAGACTGACAGGACTGCTCAGCCTTGAGTGTCCACAGATCATGATGAAGGTGATAAATATAATGATGTGATCAATAGTGAAACTATTAAGTATTAAGTAAAACTATGGATTCAGACTATTATTTAACTGTCCTCTGTTGTAGCTGTTGGTCAAAACTGGACTCCCTCACTACATCGTGTGGAGCTGGATAATGATGCTGATGATAACTGATTGATTCTGTTGATCTTTTTAACAGCAAACAGATGCCGTCCTCACTGCCTACACATACCATATACAGAGTGATGGTCGTCTCACTCTCAGTCTACGTCTGAGCACACAGATCCTGGTTTACAGTTTATACTTACTTAGTAACATCAGATTGATTTTTGTTGCTAACTCTCAAAGTAATTGTTTGTGCAGCTTCACTTCAGTCCAGACTCTGTTGGGCTGGTGACTGTCTGAGTCTGACCCTGAACTTGCTAACGAGCTGAATAACCTTTATAATCGAAATTCATAATAGTAGTAAGGAACTGTGTATGTATAAAAATTCTTACCCAGAGCAGAACGAGACATTTGTTGATAGGGACATGGTTTTCAAACTTTTTAGGGGAGTGAAAGAGACAAAAAGTCCTGGCCCAGACAATATTAACAGTTGACTTCTTAAGAACTGTGCAGATGCCGTTGGCTGACATATTTTCCGTCATCTCATGAAGTCACTTCAAATTCATAGGGTTCCTCGCCTCTGGAAGGATTCTGTGATTGTACCTTTGATAAAACCAAAATCTCTCAGTGACTTTCAACCTGTGGCATTTACTTTTATGCTTATGAAAACCTTTGAGAAATTGTAAAAACCCACTACAATTTGCTAACCCGGCAGGTAGGGGTGTTGAGGATGCCACGTGCATCCTACTTAAGATGGTTCTGGGTCATTTGGATGGTGCAAAAAATTTAGTAAGACAGCTTTTTTGTCATGGTTTGCCATGGTGGACATTTTAGGTTTGGATTTTGTCACTTCCTGTTTTATTTTGTAGTTGGTTTCCTTGTGTGTCTTAATATTTTTACTTCCTGTCTTGGTCCTGTTTTTCTGTGTGGTGATTGTCTGCCCCGCCCTAATGTGTTTCACCTGTGTTCAATCACCCTTGCCTCCCTTGTGTCTATTTAGTCTCTGTGCTCCCCCTTTGTCTGTGTCGGTTCGTCTGTTCACGTCTGGTTTGTCCTCGGTTTGTTCATGTTGCCTGTTCTAGCTGCTGTGGTATCCCCTGTGTCTCTGGTTGTTGTTCCTTGTGTGCCCTCATGCTTCGCTTTTCTGTTCTGTTGGTTCACCTGTTTTTGTAAGTTTGTCACTTAATAAACATTTTTGCAATTCATCCCTATGTGTTGGCTGCATTTGGGTCCAGCCTTACCCGCACCGTAACATTTTTATCGATTTCTCTTCAGCTTTTAACGGTATCCAACCTCACATTTTAGCAGATTGTCTCACCAGCACAGCATTGACCTTGGTTTGATATCTTGGCTAGTTGGCTTTTTAAATGACAGATCTCAGACAGTGAGAGTAAATGTCACCTTATCCAATGTTCTTTCATCTTCTACTGGCTTTATTTTATACACAAATGGGGTGTCAGTGTCACTATGAGGGCAGACACGTTAATAAGTTTGCAGATGATTCTGTCATTGTTTCTCTGCTCAGTGACGATGACTTTGCCCATGTTCCAGTGGTTGATGATTTTAGTGTCTGGTGTGAGCACTCCTTGAATATTAACTTGTCTACAACAAAAGAAATTATCACTGACTTTCGTAAAAGGCCTCCAACCGTTCCTACTCTTTTTATTCATGGCCAGGCTGTTGAAGTTGTCGGACAGTGCAAGTATTTGGGAACAATAATTGACAACAAATGAACATTTGACTGAAATACTGCTGCTGTTTGTGCAAAGGCCCACCAACGTATGTGCTTCTATCTCTTTTATGAAAATGTTTTTGTTGTATTCTTGTTTTATTGAGTCTGTTTTAACCTTTTCATTTATCTGCTGGTTTGCATTACTCACCCTGAAAAACAGGAACAGGTTGGAAAGCATTGTGAGACTGTGTAGTCAAATTGCCAGGGGAAATCTTGAGGAACTCTCTGTACTTTACAAAGTCAGAGTCTTTAAAAAAGGCTCAGTTATTCCTGGCTGACAACAACCACCCCCTGTTATCATCATGTCTAGATGCAGGACCAGCAGTTTCAAAAATTCAAAAAATTTGTCCCTGCTACCATTGATTTTTTTTTTTTAAATAGTCTCATGTTATCCCTTGTTTGTTGCATAAATTGTTTGAGTGTTTGATTACTTTTTTTATTTATTGCTGGCTGTGCAACGAATTGCCCCTTGGGGATAATAAAGATGACCTTGACCTTGAGAGTTAACTTCAGCATCACACCCCCACCTGACTGTGAAACAGCGGTTCCGATCACCTGTCACTTTCTAAGCTAAAGCGGACACATCGTCTTGTCTCATGATCAGTTTAGTTACAAACAGCTAAGTCATTACACATCTGTCATTTGTTGCATAATCTTGAGCTTCATATGTTGGATGATAGTGTGGTCACTCTGTCTGATGTTAGTTAAGGTGCCAAAATGATGTACACTGTAAAACGCTGGAGGAAATGAGCTGAGATACAAGTTTACATGCTGACGGAGAATTCAGAGCAGCTCTGGAGCCACAGCTCAATCCTGCTTTGAAAAGGTGCCACATGCTCAGTTGCATATCCATAATATTAACTTTCCTTTAAAGGTCCATATATTATGAAGGTATACTGTATATCCATGTGTTTGATTATAAAGCAGGCCTAGGTTCTATATTAATACTGTGAAAGTATCAAAGCGCTCAGTCCACAGAGAAATGCACACAGCCTGTATTCAGACACTGAGCCTGAAAACTAGATCTGTTACTAGAGCTCCAGAGAGAAGCCTGAGAGAGGAGATGTGAAACTACACTGAGATGGTTTTTGGTTGTTAAAACCACAGATATATCTATCAACACTTCAAATAAAACACAGGAGAAGAAGGAAAAAAGGGACCATTTAAAAGTGAAAGTAAGAGAAACTTATCTGACTCTAACTAGCTTTATTGTTGTTACTTTGCTGCTATCATCTTATTATGCATCTAAATCTACCTCTACTGTAGAGACTGAGGAACAGAAGAGGAGAAGAGTCAGACACTCTCTTGTCTGCTGCGTATTCTGGGAAAATAAAACTGAAAAAGTCAAAGAGAATCATAAACAATAACGAAAGAGAAGGAAATCCCTGGATGAACAGGGGAGATCAGTGATTGGCTATGGTTGTTGGGTCACTGATCATTGGTTGACCATGCTGCTGCTCTCCTCCTCACTGAACACAGTCAGCCAGAGCCACAGCCACATGACATCACATTCATGGAGATGTATAGTGTTTTCCTGGCCTACAAACACTTTGGTTGTGGTGAGGTTAAGCTTCGTGTTGCAGAGATAACGTGTTGATTGATGAAGGAAAACACACATCAATGGGCAAGTGGCTGCATTTATAAAGCTCTATTATCCAAAGTGATTTACAGTTTGCCGCTCATTCATCTACAGTGCAAGGTCGGGGTGGGGGACAGACTTGGAACACAGTCTGTGGTCCAAAATGGCTGAGCCACTGAGTAGTTTTTATTTTTCATAAACTTGTTTGATCGTTGCCATTCTCCTGCACTGTTTGTGTGTGCAGCTCCCTCTAAATGACATCCTCTCAGGAGACATGACGATACGAGAAATCTGGTAGTCGTCACCAAGGCCGATGGAATTCCATGATTCTGGTGACAGACCAATACTGTGAAAACATTCATTTATAATGTCAGTGAATTATATTTTAGCAGACTGGACAGTGATGACTGTAGCTGCTAATGTTGTGAGCACGTTATGAGCTGTCACTGTTAGCAAAAGCAAGCTAATATTAGCCCAAACAAGCTGATGTTAGTCTAAACAAGCTAATGTTAGCCTAAACAAGCTAATGCTACTAAAACTGTGTAATCTTATTTCTGTAATACTGTGTATTATAATTCTGCTGTATCTCTTGATATTGTACTCTTTTATACTCTTGTCTGACCATGGTCCTGTGTGTGTTTGTGTGTGTGTGTGTGTGTGTGTGTGTGTGTGTGTGTGTGTGTATGTGTGTGTGTGTGCGTGTGCGTGTGTGTGTGTGTGTCACAGGGGGCCTGTTCCCGAGGGGTGCAGATCAGGAGTACAGTGCGTTCAGAGTCGGCATGGTTCAGTTTGGGATGGCAGATTTCAGACTGACTCCTCACATAGATAACCTGGAGGTGGCCAACAGCTTTGCTGTCACTAACTGCTGTGAGTACTGGTTTTCTTTTATTACTCTGAACACAGATCAGTTAAAGGGATTGTTACTGTTGCAGATCATTTGTAAAGTCTTTCAGTTTCTGATACAGGTTATTCATTAATTATTAGCATGCTGCTATCAATATGGGTGTTTGATCTGGTGTTATTTCCTGTTTCTGTCATTGTCAAACTGACAATGTGTCAGTCTCTCCTCTCTCTGGGCCCCGGTTCCTTCTGAAGATGTAAATCTTCAAAAGTAAATAGTTTCAGGTTTGTGCTTGAACATTAGAGAGTCATGTCAGAGATGATTTGGTCTGATCACTTAGAGTGACTTTAAGTTCCAACACATGTTGACAACAGACAGAGGTTTGCTAAGCTTCAGCTCTAACTGTCTGTCTCATTAGTAATGAGACCACTGTCCTGATGGGATATTTTACCTTCTGGAGTTCCTTTACCTTTAAGAAGAGAGGGAATCCCACTGGGATATATATCCATGACATCTGGAAGCTCATCAGGTGTGAGATAGCAAGAGGTTCTTTATTCACTTTTTAAAGTTCATCTCCAGACACATTTTAAAATCCTCTGCTATGATTTATATTTAGTTGAACATGGTTTTCCCACATAAAAAATCTCATCTCCTCTTACTTCCTGGTTGAGAAATATGGATAAGGCCTTATGCCACCACCTGCTGTCTCCAGGTGGACAGGTGAAAGAGCAGAGAGTATCAAGATGGTTAGAGGAGGAAACATCAGAGAGACTCAGCCACATGTTTGAGCCTCAGTCAGACCCAGACTCAGATGAGGAGTCTGTTGAGACCAGAACCAGAGACTAGCAAGAAGTATCAGAACGGTTAGCGTAGTTAGCATCTTTTATTTGTTTATGTTGTTTGTTAGTTTGTAACTGGTAGTGGCTGACAAAGTGTTAGTGGTTGTGCTAATGCTAACTCTGTCTCTCTGTACTGACAAGGTTTCAGGTTTATTCAGCCCCGCCCAGCATCAGAGGCAAACAGTGAATTACCATTCTAGACACTGCAGCACAGTTGGTGAAGGTTGTGATAAGCCGTCCTTACCACTGCATTAAACATATGCTCTAGTAGTTCAAGTGAAATGCGCCCAAACCACAGATGTGTTATCTGAATGTGGTGATAAATGTGTTGGTGAAGTGGATCAGCGTAGAGTCACAGAGCAGAAACAGCGCGAACAAGGCCTCGGTGCAGGCAGTGCATTGAGTCTTCATCAGAGCATGATGTAATGATGGCCCGAGGCTCAGAGGTCTGCTATTTAAGTGCAGTGTATTGTGATAGCATGGAGTCCTCTCCTTCTGCACCTGCTGCAGTACACATGATGTCCACACACTGTGACACTGACTTCACAAAGACAACACGTCTGTCTGCATGTTACAAATTCACATGTGTCATACATACCAAACCAAAACCATGTTGTAAAGCAGTCACCTAAAACGAACAGCCGATCACAGCGTCAGACAAGTCAAAGGCCCTGTTTTGGTGTAAGGTATAATTAAGACTGTACTACTAGTATTACCAATGCTGCTTATTGATCCGGTACTTTAACGGTTGTCTTGTAGATCTGGCACTTTGTTGGTTCTCTTCTCGATCCGGTACTTTAACTGTAATCTTATTAGTCTGATACATTAATGGTTCTCTTATAGATCTGGTACCTTGATGGTTCTCTTATAGAGCCGGTACTTTACCGAATCTCTTATAGATCTGGTACTTTAACTGTAATCTCATCGATCCAGTACTTTAACGGTTCTCTTATCGATCTGGTAATTTAACGGCTTCATCGAGGCTGATGAATAACGCTGTTAGAACGTGGGGGGTCAACTCAGGCAGAAACCCTGCGGTGGCATGCCGTGCTGTCCAGTGGGAGGAGAGGGTGGTAGAGGGAGTTGTAAGCCAGTCCAGCAGCAGACTGAAATCCTGGTACCAACAGTCAGCTGCTCGGCTGCTCAGAGCAGGTCGACGGCTCCGTGCACTTCACTGGGTGAAACCTCTGACTTTACAAAAGCTTTTCTACAAACTACTGAAGAACTTTAGTAACTGAGAGATTTCTAAAACGAATGTCAATATATTATATTATATTATATTATATTATATATCATGATGGATTATTGAGTGCAGATTAATGAGCAAAAATGTCAGTTTTATCCATTGAAAATTAAAACTACACCACGGTGGCGTGAAGGGGTCTGGATACAGTCTGAAGACACTGTAGTGCCTAACAAGCTCTTTTCTAAATAATAAATTATTAGTGTGTTTCTCTGCCACCATAACACGCAGCACTTTGCAGCATTAAAAATCAAACATGTCCTCCATATTTGAAAGTGGAACAGTTCTAATAAAAGATGTTATTCTTGTTTTATTTCACTCATTCATTTCCTGGATGAAAACCTTTAATCAGGTTGATAAGACAACAGCAATGACCCAGTCACTGCAGTAAACAGTAATAAAATGATCCACCATCAACTCATCAGTGCAGACGACCTTGTAGTCACCACTTTCTATCAGCTGAAGACTTGATGTAGATCAGGTTCAGTAGAGCAGTCTGATCCCAGTCCTGCTGAGCTCAAACCACAGTCATGTCTGAACGGACTGATCAGACTTTATTTGGTGTTTAGAACTAAGAAGACCTTTATTATAGATGAGTTTACACTGTTCATACAGTTAAAAGCAGTTTAAAGTAGAGTTCTTCTGATTCTGATACTAGAATCTGAAAGGCTGTTGATCTTGCTGAAATACTGGATCAGTATCAGTGAGAATGTGAGTCTGTGCACGGATCTAATACCAGAAAACTTATCAATAAACTTTATAGTTTCACACACAGATAAAACTACAGTGTTCCCAGAAATCTCTTCTTCTCTGTGAAATGTAAGCTGTTAGCAAAATGTCAGCAATTTAGCTGTATTTCACCTCATCTGCCTCACGTCATGTTGAGTCAATATGCTAGCTTAGCAAGCCATTATGAGCAGAAACATTAGCTTGCTAAACATGTCTCACAAATGTATTAACCTATAACCATGACTCTATCTCCAGCATAACAACAAATATACGAGCTGAACAGAGCACAAACAACTGAACAAGATATGCTTACATTAGTCATGAACACGCACAGAACGTCCTCACTTACCTCAACTACTGAAGCAGACGATCTCTTCTTATGTGGCACTGGAATAATTTCACCGTCAGGAGCTCACCCTCCTGGCCACACTGAGGGCAATACATGAAGTTTCTGAGGGAATTCTGCACAGGTATACTTTGAAGGTTATTTTTGGTGCAAAACAACTGGGCACCTGTGAAAGTGGAATTAGTAGTTGTTTCTGCTACAAAAATATCCAAGAAAAAATTTGTTTGTGCATGAATTCACAATCTGATTAGCAGATGTGCATATTTTGTCCATGACTTCACATTATGTGATACAGGTGTATGAATGTATGTTGCACATTCACTGAAGCAGCTGTAGCAAAAATGCAGCTTATGAGTTTCTTAATTTGTGAGTTGTAAAACGGGATTTGTGCACCTGCAATGAAGAATCTGAGAAGGTGTAACTTTTGTGTTTGTGGCAGAGAAAAAAAATACAAGTATGCAACTCCTAAAGCGTTTTTTCATTTTATTTTAATACAGTGGTATCAAATCAGTCCTGTGTATGGACCGGTACACAGGTTCAGGTATCAGAATCAGCACATCTCTAGTTTAAAGTAAAAATAATTACTGGGGTCTGTTTGTGTCCTTTATGACTGTAAGCTGCACTGTTTTATGTCATCTAAAACTAAAACCATAGAATCTATTAATATATTAGTCCATATTGTATTCGATGTTAAGCAGCCAAATAAATCAGATCTAGAGATCAAATCTCATGGATTAACTAAAACTAAAATCAGGCTGTTCTCATCAGAGTCAAGTCACTGAGTGTGAGTGAAGTGGGCTTGTAACCAGAGAGTAGTGATGAAGTCAAATGATAGTGAAGTAACTGCTTTCCCTGCTGTGTCTAGTTTTCATATACCCAGACCAACCAATCAGATATAAATAAACTTTGACAAGGACAATATGAAATACTTTTCACTTATTTTTTAAATTTTGGGATGAAGCAGGACGATTTGGTTGGGTAGTCTGAGCACTTGGTGGAGTCCCCCCTGTGCCCATGCTTGTTAATGTGTCCTCGGGGAGGGGAGGAATAAACAGTCTTTGATACACTTTCATTGCGCTCTGTGGAGTGTGTGAAGCATGTTATTGGTTTATTGTGACTGTCAGTGAAATGTGTTGTATTCAAGATGTCCTCGGCTACACTGGTCCTTAATACAACATGAATTATAAAGGATTATTGTTCATGGTTCAATCATGTTCATATGTCAGCATCAATTCAGGATATGATGCACATGAACTCAACAGTTCAGACACAGAGAGGAAACTGGACGTTTTATTTCCAGAGAAGAGAATGAGGTCATTGAAGTAGGACGACTAAATATAACAGACACTAAGAGTCCTGCAGCCTTCCAGTGAAATGTCCTAACTGTACAGTAACTGTTGGCTGCCTTTGATATAGAATACAGAGATAAATATTGAAGCAGTGACATAGGCCTCTGTGCCTAACAGCAGTCATCACAGCAGCCAGTGACTGATTACATGATGTTTAACAGAAAATGTCACTGTCTTCTACTTATTTCCTGTCTTTGAGTTTTCCACATAAAGTTATTTAACCAAATATCAAATTTCACCATCCAACCCACCTGGCTCTTAAAAACTCCATCAGATACTAGTCTGCTCATTGTCCAGTGTGTTGGTGTCACAGTGCATTAGAGAGCCGTCATGCAGACATGGGCAAGAATCTGAAGCTGCTTTGCCGACTTTTCATCTGTGGTCTTTAGAAGCTCATCTTGGTCCAGTATTCAATCTCTGGCTGTGAGAATCCTCTGTGCAGGGAACCTGGAAAACAGGTTAACAGTTTCCCAGTCATGAAAAACACATGGAAAATGAGAGAAAAAGTCAAGTGTCCTGGAAAATAATGTGTTTTCCTGGAAAATGATTTCAGTATTCTCCTATTTTATGTTGAGGATCACTTTGATGTTCAAATGCTAGGCTAGTTTATGGATGACAGTAGTTTGAACACGGTGCTATTGGTTTTGTTTAGTGCTGTTAACGCAGCCGGAAGTCACATGCTGCAGGTTGGAAGAATGTAAGTTAAGAAGTTAGTAAGTCCTTTAAATGTACATGAGTCCCTGTTGGCTGCTAACTGTCTTTATCTGGTTTATAGATTAATGTATTCTTCCCAACTTTTTTTAAACTGTTGGATAATGGGTTAGTGTGTTTGCTTCAGTTTTGAATTGCTGAGAGTTGATAATAAATGTGAAGTCAATACAGGTCAATACAATGAATAGGAGCCCAGCTGTATGCTAGTCAAACACCGGCTAATGGCGCTTTTTACTTTGCTAGCATTTTTGTTAGCGTCACTTCAAACCCAATGCTGTGTTGTTCAGGTAAAACTGACCATAATAGAGAGAGTTGAGAAAGGACTCAGTATCATGTTCTGTATCTGTGGTTCTGGTTTCACTACTGACTGCCAACGCTTTCCAACCGTAGAAGTTTAGAGGAACCTATACGTACAACCATGAATTAAAAGTTAAAACTGAAATAAAACTTGTGTTTCTTTGCTTTATAATACCATTATTGTTATTATTATTTAACTGTTTTTGGAGGTAAACTGTTGTAACTGTTGTAGTGGTAGCTCACAGTGGGTTAATAACCTTGTTAATGACATCACTTCCTGTTACTAGTAAAGAGGCTAAAGTGTGATAGTCTGATGAGACCCAGTGGCAGTAAATAATCTGAGCTAATTCAACTTTGAATCTACATTTATCTTAACTTCAGTCTAGATTTGCAGGAGGGAAAACTGTAGGCAACTATTTATACTGGTGTTCAGGCAGCAATGGTTAAAATAATTCATAAGAATAAGGTGAGTCATGTTATGAATTAATGATGATGATAATAAGGTTTTTTTCTTGTGTTCAATTTGTCATAAAATCATAATTAATTGAAGAGATTAAAGAGATGATGTCATAGATAAGTATAGCCAAGTACAGACTGCACTTATTTTAAATCAGATTTCCACAGATAGGAACACATTGGTGTATGGTGTGATTCCTGTCTGTAATATGAGTGAGATCATCATTGGAAATGTCCTGGAAAATGTTCTCTTGAAAAGACTGGGAATTCTGTCTGTGCCATGTTGTGTATCGCTATAGCAACCCAGTGTCTTTGATTTTATGAGTATCCAATTGAGGAGTAGCAAAAAACTCTCACACACTATCTAGTACACCTGCAGACAGAGAAACGTATGGCGCATGTTTGGGTGCACAGACCTTCATCATGTTATTTTACCAAGAGGTCTCTCCAACACACCTGTCCATTCACAGGTAACATGACCATATATGCTTCTGCACATGTGTAAGAAGAATCAGAAACATCAATTCTACCTCAACTTTCTAGGAAAATGTATTGTTTTTTTCACAGCTACATCTCAAAACAAATACCAGAGTACACCTCAATGGTTTGAGGTTTACTCTGGTATTTGTTTTCAGATCCTGTCTGGTCATACATGTTATTTGAAGAATAAAAGAGTAGTACCTCTGAGGTGGAAAAACCAACTGTGATGCTCTGTTCTTCAGAAAATAATAATAATATAATGTAATAATAAAATAATAATAATAACCTGGAGATTCGTAAATAATAATATAAAGTGTATGATGTATAGTGTATAGATTGGGCACGTCCAAAGTTTGACCTATAGGCGAATTGTGGCCTGCTGACCAATTTTAAATGGCCCACGGTTTGTCTCTCAAATTATACAATATGCTGCCCACGATGGCAGCACTTTCCCACTGTTCATAGACATCTCTACAGTGGAACTAATGTTTTCAACAGACCATAAACAGGCAACAGACATTTGCTGCTAGGTAGCAGTCCTGGCCACACCAAAGAAGTGTAGAGTTAACGGCGAGGGCCGCCGCTTTCAGGAGTGGTGAAAAGTGAATACTTTTTCACTGAAGAGTTCAATGTGAAGACACTAAGCATAATTCATACTGTCCAGTGACTGTCCTGCAGTGAACGGGTGGAGAAAGTGAAACATTTTAAAGCTAGCCTAGTCTCCCAGCAGTGGCCTTTCTCAAGGCATGGCCCCCAGGTATTTTCACATTATCAAATTTGGCCACCATTCAAAAAAGTTGGGATGCCCCTGGTATAGATCCTCTGACCAGGTTTAATATAATGAGATGGAATAAAGGAAAGAGTGGGAGGTCTCCATGGTGATAATCTGTCACATGCAGCTCCTGCAGGTTTGATTATAGAACAACCTCATACAACCCTACAGATTTCTATCCCAAACTTAATTTGAAATATTTATAGACTCAGCTGAACCTTTCTATTCAACACATACAATGGATCATTGTCATCGGAGAGCTGCAGAGGGACATCCCTGCTTTGTCAACTTTCAGGATGTTACCTGAGACCTGTGTCTGAGTTTCATCCTGTGTGTCTCTCTCTCTCTCTCTCTCTCTCTCTCTCTCTCTCCCAGTTTGTTCCCAGTTCTCTCGAGGCGTCTACGCCATCTTTGGCTTCTACGACAAGAAGTCGGTGAACACCATCACCTCCTTCTGTGAGACGCTTCATGTCTCCTTCATCACACCTTCTTTTCCAGCAGAGGGGATGAATCAGTTCGTTCTCCAGATGAGGCCGGACATCAAGGGCCCGCTGGTGTCATTAGTGGAATACTACAAATGGGAAAAGTTTGCCTACCTGTACGACAGTGACAGAGGTAATAAGGCTCTCATCAGGTACAGCTAGGGGTTATAGCAAAGGATCCCTTCTCTGTTCTTCAAAGATCTCTCAGTCTCTGGGAGACACACAGTGTACATGACCTCAAACATTCATCTTTATATAGAAACCAACACCATCTGGTAATGTCTAACTCTGATTCTGACTGCACATCGATGTCTGTGTAAAGAGCTTCAGTTGTCACAGTTTCTAAGAAATGGTTCTTAAATTGGAGACCTACATTAAAATGTCAGGAGGCCTCCTCTAGATTTGATTTGGTGGCTGTGGCTCAGGAGGTTGTCAAGCAATCAGAAGTTCGATTGGTCTGTGTGCCCTCAGGCAGTTTTACAATTTCTTTCATTTTAAAACAAAACTTTAAAACTTTTTTGATGTTTTCATTGTCAGATTAAAAAACAAAAACAATAAAGAAGATAGAAGAAGAAACGGTTCAATTCTGGTGTTTGTAAATTCTTATTTTTTCCTTTGTTAAACTGAAGAATGAATAAAAGGATAGAATGGCCACTCTATGGATGACTATGAAATGTCTCGTCACGTTCTGGACTCTGACCTCAGTGTATGGTGTGGTGTAAACACAGTTTTTATTTCAGAGTACTGTTAACAAAAATCTCAGCTGCATCTCATTTGTAGAGTTGTGGTTATTTTTATTAAAGTAGTGAAAGCTTAACCTAAATAGATTTGATAAATGATCTGAACAGAAGCAGATTCAGATCAGAACCTCCCCGGCGCTGTCCTGTTACCATGTACATCACAGCAAACAAACTTCTAATTTCACTGACCATGGTGTGTGTGTATGCGTGTGTGTAGGTCTTTCTACTCTTCAGGTCATATTGGACACTGCAGCAGAGAAGAAATGGGTGGTCACAGCCATAAATGTAGGAAATTTGAAGGATGAGAGGAAGGACGAAGCATACCGTTCGCTGTTTCAGGTACTGATGATCTGCTCCTACACAACACTGCTCTCTCTCACTGCTCTCTGTCACTTCTCACTGTCGCTGCTCTCTGTAACTGCTCCCTGTCACTCCTCTCTCTCAATGCTCCCTGTCACTGCTCTCTGTCACTGCTCCTTGTCACTGCACCTTGTCACTCCTCTTTGTCAATGCTCCCTGTCACTGCTTCTTGTCACTGCTCTCTGTCGCTGCTCCCTGTCACTGCTCCTTGTCACTCCTCTCTATCACTGTTCCTTGTCACCTCCCTGTCACTGCTCCCTGTCACTGCTCCCTGTCACTGCTCCTTGTTACTCCTCTCTGTCACTGCTCCCTGTCACTGCTCTTTGTCACTGCTCCTTGTCACTCCTCTCTATCACTGTTCCTTGTCACCTCCCTGTCGCTGCTCCCTGTCACTGCTCCTTGTCACTGCTCCTTGTTACTCCTCTCTGTCACTGCTCCCTGTCACTGCTCTTTGTCACTGCTCCTTCTCATTGCTCTCTGTCACTGCTCTCTGTCACTTCTCCTTGTCACTGCTCCTTGTCACCTCCCTGTCACTGCTCCCTGTCACTGCTCCTTGTCACTGCTCCTTGTTACTCCTCTCTCTCACTGCTCTTTGTCACTGCTCCTTGTCACTGCTCCCTGTCATCCCTCTCTCTCAATGCTCCCTGTCACTGCTCTCTGTCACTGCTCCTTGTCACTGCACCTTGTCACTCTTCTTTGTCACTGCTCTCTGTGGCTGCTCCCTGTCACTGCTCCTTGTCACTGCTCTCTATCACTGCTCCTTGTCACCTCTCTGTCACTGTCACTGCTCTCTGTCGCTGCTCCCTGTCACTGCTCCTTGTCACTCCTCTCTCACTGCTCCCTGTCACTGCTCTCTCTCAATGCTCCCTGTCACTGGTCTCTGTCACTGCTCCTTTTCACTGCACCTTGTCACTGCTCTTTGTCACTGCTTTCTTTCACTGCTCTCCGTCACTGCTCCCTGTCACTGCTCTCTCTCACTGCTCCTTGTCACTGCTCTCTGTCACTGCTCCCTGTCACTGCTCCTTGTCACTCCTCTCTCACTGCTCCCTGTCACTGCTCTCTCTCAATGCCCCCTGTCACTGCTCTTTGTCACTGCTCCCTGTCACTGCTCCTTGTCACTCCTCTCTCACTGCTCCCTGTCACTGCTCTCTGTCACTGCTCCCTGTCACTGCTCTCTCTCACTGCTCCTTGTCACTGCTCCATCACTGCCCCCTGTCACTGCTCTCTGTCACTGCTCCCTGTCACTGCTCTTTGTCACTGCTCTCTGTTACTGCTCATGTTCACTGCTCTTTGTCACTGCTCTCTGTCACTGCTCTTCCTTACTGCTCCCTTACACTGCTCTTTGTCACTGCTCTCTGTCACTGCTCCTTGTCACTGCTCTCTCTCACTGCTCTCTGTCATTGCTCTCTGTCACTGCTCCCTGTGACTACTCTCTCTCACTGCTCTCTGTCAGTGCTCACTGTCACTGCTCTCTCTCACTGCTCACAGCACGACTCACCACAATACACAACAACACACTCAGTGGTCTCTTCACCACTGCCACTGATTCCAGGGTTCAGTATCTCCAAGAGCGACACTACACCTCCTGTCCTCCCAGTTCAGTGTCCCCTCCCAGTGATAGCAGAGACCAGAGACAATACAAACCTAAACATTATCAGTCACAACTTCATGCCGCAGGACTGTGGTGTTGAATCTTGCTAAACTCTAATCTGTGTTTCAGGACCTGGAGATCCGTAAAAAGCGACGCATCATCCTGGACTGTGAACAAGACAAAGTTAAAGACATCATGGAGCAGGTACATTCCAGTCTTATCAATACTGCTGCTAATGATACACTGATAAAATCCATCCATCACCAGGAGAGATGATGCTTCTCCTCCTCCAGCCTGCTGTAGAGACATCCTTTGCTATTTAATTTGTCTCTCCCATCATGCACCAGACATCAGTGTGGTGTCAGAGAGACGTTGCCTAATTGACATTGTGACGTTTAGCAGACGTCGAGTTTTACTCATGAGAATGTCACTATTTTATGAGTTGGAACACAACTTAAAACCAATAAAACACCATCATCAGCTGTCAACAGTTTTTTACGTCACATTGACCTTTGACATGATCTTCCCCTGACATTGAGGGTCTGAGAATACAACACCTTCTCCAGGTGTTGTCTTGTGTCAGCACATTTAAAATTAATACACCGTCCTGTCATCGTGCTTCCTTTTAGGTAGGAGCAGGGTGGAGTACTGTACTGTACTGTTTTCATTTCAGATCTGTTTCCAGCTCTGCTTCTCTTTTGTCTTTTTGTTAACAATGAGAAACATTCACAGTTCCAGATCAGATCAGACTTTAAGCTGCTGTTTTTAATAAGACTTCCTAGTTCAGCCTGTGTCTGAAAGAGGTCAAAGGTCATTTGTTAATGGTTGTGAGTGCACTAATTTATACAGACAAAGCAGTGAGTGATGCACATCATATCTATAGCTGGTCCCTGGTTCTGAAATCCTCCTGTCTATTTATTTATCCACACAGCTGAAGCTGAGTCTTTAGGTGAGAGCTGGTGAGTGAAACAGTGAACCTCTTTTTGATCAGCTCTGTCTGGGGGATCCAGTGATGTTCCTGTGCTCATTAGGATTTACACTGTCTCTGGTGTATTTGGATCTGCCCTGGGATCTACTCTGAGCCTGAAAAACCCAGACTGACCTCCACAAGGAGGTGTTCAGGTGTATATTAATTACATACCAGCTTCACCTCAGCTGGTTTCTTTAAAGGAGAATAAGCAGAGGCCCCAGTCCAATCCTCAGCTTGAGCAAAGACAACAGAGATTCATCTTAAAGGTTTTCCACATTTCAACCAGGTGGACAGTCTAGGACTCAGAATCCTGTCATCTGAAGAACTTTGCAGAGGACAGAGGTCCAAGTCATCAGCTTGACCTCAGTCCACCAGAGCTTCTCTTTCTTACTCCAGTCTCTGCTGCTGGTTTTCATCCAGTGGTGTCTTTTGTTTTGTCCACTTACTTTTGGCATTTTGAATTGTGTTACAGTGTTGAAGCTGATGGCTCGTGTATTCAGCAGTTTAATGGAGGCAACCACAGCCTCCTGCTTCGGTACAGCTCAACAAACACCAGCTGGTCAGAGAGCTGAGGTCTGCACTATGAAACAGGCTCAACATTCCCAGGATAACTTTTCATTATCTGGCTTTACTGAACCTGAACATTTTCTGTCCTGATAACCTGTTCTGAGGCCTGTATTACGAAGCAAGTTCATCATATCCAGGATAACTTTTATTTATCTGGGTTAACTGAACCTAACATTGACCATCCTGGATAATATGTACTACAAAGCTGGTTATCAATTGGCTCAGTTAACCCTGGGTTTACCTGTTCGGTTAAGAGCACTTTCATGAGAAGGGGTGGAGTTGTTAATTATAAACAGCATCATCAGAACCATGAAGAAGGTTCTTTATATGATATGAGAAGAAATACTGATACCTGCCTGTAAGTTTGCTTATAACCATGTCGAGAAGTGATGTTCAACAAGGTGAAATGTAAACAATATAATCACATGACTGGAATGAAAAAATTATTTCTATGTCTAAATATAATTTCTATTAAAGTCAGACTAAAGACATATTGTAAATAATTGCATGAATTATTAGTATTTTCGCTCTTCAGTCTGATGATGAACAAACTGTTATGAACATGTGATTCAGATAAAACAGTTAAAGTTAAAGTCAGACTGTTTCTGCTGCAGAGAGGAGAGAAAGAAAAGAGGAGAGGAGTAGTTGATGTCTGATGAGTCAGTCTGACTGACTAACAGTGTGTGGATCATTGTTGGTTTAGTTTTTATTTCCAGTTGTGGTCTCAAAGTCTCCTCATGTTATTCTGAGCTGCAGTGATGAAGAAGAGAGTAAGAGCGTCATCCCTGTCAGGAATCCTGTCGGATTAAAGAATCTGGACTTCAGTATCAGTTACCATGGTGATTTACCCTGATAAGAAGGGAACCATCGTTGTAGGACTGAGTTAAACCTGAAGTTACTTCCATAACCTCAAATCCTGCTTTGTGGTACAGACCTCTGATTTACAGCAGAAACATCTCCATGATCAGGTTTTTCTTTGAGGGTGGAGAAAAATTTCTAATGTGAATTAAAACATTAAAAATCCAGTTAAATATTTCATGTAATTATCAGCTTGTTTCCTGAGCTCGTTAACATTCACATGTTTTTCACAGGACAGAAACTACAGACTGGGAGAAATGTTTTTATCAGTTTGTTGTTGCTGTTGTTGACACCTCGTCCTCTCTCCCACCAGGTCATCACTATAGGCAGACATGTGAAAGGATACCACTACATCATCGCCAACCTGGTGAGTCATGTGCTCTCACTTCTCATGTATAAATGACGACATGGTTAAAAGGCATGTTGCTACATCAGGTGTCAGGTAACAGTCATCAACCAATCAACCTGTGTTGGTTGTTGAGTAGTTGACCTGCCTCAGTCTGTCTAGCAGCAGGCCACACATCAAATCAAAGCACCACTGATGTTACAGTAGCTGTGGTGATAGACACTGTTAACCATCACTTCTTCACTGTGACGTGTCTGTATACCAGCACACCTCCACTACAGGACCAGGATTCCGTTACTGACATGTCTTCATGCCCTGCGCAGTCAGTTTGAAAGAAAAGGTCAAAGGTCATTTATTAAAATGTTGTTGTTGCAGGGTTTCGTAGATGGTGACCTCTCGAAGATCCAGTATGGAGGAGCGAATGTGTCTGGGTTCCAGATCGTAGACTTTGATGATCCTGTGGTGGCGAAGTTTGACCAGCGATGGGAGGCTCTGGAGGAGAAGGAGTACCCTGGAGCTGACTCGCGGATCAGAGTAAGATCAGGATTAGTCAACGTTACTTCATCATTGAAATGAGTTTAAGTTGCTCCAGGAAAGAATCAGTTCACCTGGAGCCAGTCCAAGGATCAGCGTAGCATAGTCATGCTAACACTGCGTTTAATAATCTAATCGTTGGAAAATTCATCATCTCTGTGGATCTGACTGTTGTCGGGCCATTTAACATGTCTTTGTCATAATGAGCTGTCAGAGAGACAGATGCACTTCAACACAGTCCTCTTAGAACTGAACCAGATCCTGAACCACAGCAGGTCCAGAATGTCTGAAGTGATGATGTGTCTGTGTCTCAGTATACCTCAGCTCTCACCTACGACGCCGTCCATGTGATGACTGAGGCCTTCCGCTTCCTTCACAAGCAGAGGATAGACATGAGTCGTCGTGGCAACAATGGGGACTGTCTGGCCAATCCAGCAGTGCCGTGGGCACAGGGGGTGGAGATTGAACGTGCCCTCAAACAGGTAACCAAGGATTAAAACACAGATACGGTAAAACAAAGAACACTGCAAAACACCAAACGCTGTGAAATGACAGTTCACATGTGCATATTCAGTAGGTCCATGCACATGGGATGTTTTTAGTTTTAGAGTTTTTAGAGTTTTTAGTCCTGTTACACCTGAACTGGCGAACTCTGAATCTATGGCCTGAGGGAGGGCCTTTAAAATGGAAGAATATGGGCCAGACTAGGGCCAAGGACCCTATTGCTATCTGGGAGGGGCTGGTTTGTGCAGTCCAATATGGATCTGGTCTTGTGAATAGGGTTGGGCATCGTTTGGATTTTAACAATTCCGATTCCGATTCCGATTCCGATTCTCAATATCGATTCCTGTTCTAAACGATTCTCGATTCTGATTCTTTGAGGTGCAGGAGAGAAAAAAAGGTTTATACCATGCAGCTTGAGAAGGTGTTTTGTCATGTTCGTTGTGCATCCTCCTTTGGCAGAAATAAGTTTCCCACAGGTGTTGCACTGTGCGAATCCATCCTTTTTTAAATTAAAATGAAGCCAGACTTTCGAGCGGCGTTTGCGGTCCATGTTCGACAAGTGATGTTTAGCGGAGCACGCCGGGCGGAGTGATAAAAACCCCGAAAACAAACGGAGCACGGCAGCACACCGGGCAGAGTAAAACAAACCCCGAAAACAAACTAATGCGGGCATTTAGGAACCGAAAAAAAGAATCAAAATTCAAACATCTTCTTAACGGTTCCGGAACCGGACGTTAGGAACCGGTTCCTATTTGGAACCGGTTCTCAGTGCCCAACCCTACTTGTGAAGTACCTGTAGATTAAAGATGGCTGTGACACCTGTTACCTTAGTAGCCACCTTTACATTGTGGTTCAAGTGTTTTGTGTTTTGTTATGTTAGGACAGATTCAGTATATATATAAAGTAACATAATTTTCCTGTCAGCAAACAACATTAAAACAACAAAACACACACACACACACACACACACACACACACACACACACACACCTGCTGCAGGGCGCTGCCATGCCACTCACCTCAGCCCCTGCTTTACGCAGCCCTCTCATCCAAATGTCTCTTTCAGTTCATTTTAAAGTTGTAACATTTTTCCTTTTCTTCACTGTCAGGAGGAAGTTGTTCTTGTGACAGTTTGTTGCATTGTGTCCATGTGTTGTTACGAATATGAATGTTGAGTTGTGTTGCAGTTCTCATACATGTTTCTGCTCATTTACCATTTTCATATTTACAGTGTTCACACTATAATTGTGACAGACAGAATTATGTTTAGGTTTTTCAAAATAAGGGACTATTATATTAACGTTAAGAATTGTTTGCAGTTAAATCTGTGATGGATGCTGATCTAGTGAAGAACAGATCATTTATGGAAGCAGAAGCAGAATATTAAGATAAAAAGAAGGAAACTGACGTACCTAAAACCCACTAATGTAACCACACACATGATTTTATATAGATCTATAGTGGGCGAGCAGTTTATTCAAATCTGGACACAGGAAGTTGATATGGAAATATTGTAGGTGAAGAGAGGCTCTTGTTTGCCAGAACAGCCAGAAGGTGTAGGCTTTATAAATATTCATATTCATATCTAGAACTGTCTGGAGCAGGATAAAAACACCCCTCAGATAAATCTAAAATTGTATATTGCAAGTCAGCCAGTGACCGAGATTTTATAAAAGCTACTTCGGATCCACTCATCCTGCTCCTACGCACCTGCCTCACTAAATACATGTTCTTCTGGTTTATTGACAACACAACAATATATTTAATATATCATATCAGATTTGATTGGGGATGAGTGATAAAGTCGTGGTCTTGTGGTAGTCCTGGTGTTTCCACAGTCCAGGTCTTATTTACATCCACTGAGGCAGCAAAGTTTCCGTTGACATTTGTCATAATGATTAGGAGATTACTTATTAATACTTTCAACACTCATTTCAAGGTAAAAGAAATGTGTGTGTGTGTGTGTGTGTGTGTGTGTGTGTGTGTGTGTGTGTGTGTGTGTGTGTGTGAGTGATATATGCCTGGCTGTATGTATGTTTGGTGAAACCCACTCCTTTTTATTCTTATGTGTAGGTGCGTGTAGATGGTTTAACTGGGAACATTCAGTTTGACCAGTATGGGAAGAGAGTCAACTACTCTGTGACCGTCATGGAGCTGAAGAACAACGGACCTGTGAAGGTAACAACCTGTTTGTCATCATCAATATCATGATAGCATGTAGCTGTGTGTAGGTAAATAACCTGTGTGTGTGTGTGTGTGTTCATAGATCGGCTATTGGAATGAAGTGGATAAGATGGTGGTGACCAAGTCAGACCTGTACCCTAACGACACCATGGGAATGGAAAACAAGACGGTCATTGTTACAACTATACTGGTAATAAACACATGAACTTTGTCTCCATGACAACCAGTATGAGAAAAAAACACCCAATAATTTAGGTACAGAGCTCAGACAGGGGCAGCTACAATCTATTTCATTCGATTTCTCACTCTAATATCAGGTGGAGATTTCCACTGTGGACAACAAAGTTGTGTTGCATGATTTATTAATTAGAATTTAAAATTTTATTGTAAATTGTAAATAAAATCCGGGAACAGAATCAGAGAGAGGAATGGGATTGATTAAAGCTGGAGTAGGTAATCTGTTTCAGAAACAATTTTTGTGATATTTCTTTAAATTCTCTTAATATCCAGATAGCAATGAATAAACTAAATGCTCTGACAATAAACAGGAAAAACACGTCCTCAGTCCTCACAGGACTGTAAAAACTCCAGCCAATCATTGCATTCGGCCCGAATGCAATGACTGGCCTACCTACCTGTCTGTCAACCTCAGTAGCGTGCCTTTGCGTACTCTGGCTGTGCACTCGCGCTTACTGCTGCATGACCGAGCTGCTTCCGTGTCAGACAAGCAGCAGTCGCAGGTGAAGAAGAGGAAGAAGACGCACAGGAATGGCAGAAAGTTCAATCAGTTCCACCTAAGGCTTTGACTTCAACAGCAGCTTCAACAAGCCGAACAAGAGTCAACACTTACATGGCTTTTCAACGATGGCGACAACTGAGGAGACAGAGTAGCTAAAAAGCGACGCAATGGTGGCTGTATTTCTATTACACAGGTAATTATCTTGTTTGTTTTGTTTTGGGAAGTGGGGGGGGCGGGGTTGTACTAATGTAGCTAGCTGCTTCATAAGCCGTTTCAGCTGTTTAATCATAAACCAACATATGTTTTATGTATTAGCCAAAGCTAACGTTAGGTAACACTGGGTGTAAGCAACATCAGCTATGCTAGTAGACAGTGTAGCTAACGTTATGTTTACACGTAATATTGCCTTGTATGTAATCTGTGCAGCCTATATGTTTGGTGATGTCTGCACTGTAGTTGTGAGTATTGGTTCACAATATTGGTTCTAGCAGTTGAGCCCATTTCTCATATTAGAAAAATATTCTTGAATTTATTATTCGTGTACCTGTGTATGTGTATGTGTATGTGTAATAAACACTGTCCATAACTGCTGCACTTAATGCAAAAACCAACCCTCTCAAATAATTACTTTATACCCATAAAACCATCTTCCCCTCAGCAAAATAACCTGAGACTTTATGTAGCAATAGTCCTGTGTTGTTATACGTCCTATAAAGAGATTCAGATCTAATCATCTAAATGTCATTTTTGTAGAGATGATGGCTAATTGTGAAATTTTTTCTAGGACGGACAGTCGCTTCAGTAGATGAAGATTGCCACAGCACCCACATGATGTCACATGCAGAGCCTGGCCTGTCAGCCAACACTCACCTCTGCTTATAATCAACAGTAAATATATTGTGTGTGGTAATGATATATTTTGTATATATCTTATATTTCAGTAATATTATATTTCATATATTTATGTCCATAAAAATAAAACAAACAAGTTACATACCACATTGGTTCACTAAATTTTTGTGTAGCATACAAAGAGATAAATGAAACATCGTCATTGACTATGCTGTATGTGTGAGGAAAAGGCATGTATCATTTTTAAAAATTTTATTAAAAAATGTCAGAACAGATTGTGCATATAAATAAGAATGCAAAATAATAAAATACAAATTTAAATATTTACACAAGTAATGTATAAAAAGAAAAAATATTACTTAGTATTGTTACATCCTCCTGGGAAAAAGGACAGCAAAATACTCTACTAGGGATAAAACTTTGATACTGTCCATGTGGATCTGGTACCGGTCACATATTTTTCCAGACACAGCAACTAGGGATACCAACTGTGACCCTGCCCTAGTGCTCTGTATTGTTACACAACAAACTGTCTGTAAGCTGCATAGCTGAACTGCTGGGTGATCTCCCCCGGATCATCAGCCACTGCCCAGATGTCATTCCAGATGTGTCTGTCAATGTGCAGGACTCGCTCCTCCATAATACAGTACCATTCAAAAGTTTGGTTGTTTACATTCATTATGGTAATCATATATGTTTTCTTACTTGTAACTGAGCCATTCCGTATTGGGATATTATGACAATCACCGCTACGTTACACTCCTTTCCACTCTCTTTCATCCACTCGAGCAGTGTGCGTTAGGGGAGTGGCCTTGGAGGGATGCCTGAAGGGAGGGGATATGAGTTTTTCGGTTTGATACTTTAAAAATCTAGCTAACTCAGGTTAACAACTCCCAGATTACTTACTCCAGCTTCAATGCAAAGGCTGTGTTTTCTGCAATAAAGTAAAATAAATAAAGATGGACGTAGACTCTGTGACATCACCCACAGGTTTCTGAAGAGGTTTTGAAGCTCAGAGTGAGCTGCCCTACTGTCGCCATCGTGGCAGTGTCTGACTCTGCCCTTGACTCAGAGATAATCAAAAAATGGACAAAGAGGTGATGTGTAGAGCTGAGACTTTGGTGCGGCCGGTTTACGGCCATCATATGCTCACCCACCTGTCACTCAAAGAGGCCATGCCCTCCATTCTCCATAAGCCTTAATAAAATGTAAACAGGTGAGTTATATAAACAGCTGTTGAAGGAGGAAATTAGCTCTAGAGACCAAAATAGTTTTTTGTACCAGGCTGTAAGCATGTTTATTTCTGCTGTAAAGTTGGACATTTTAACATGGGAGTCCATAGGGATTGACTCACTGTTGGAGCCAGACTCTAGTGGTCATTAGAGGAACTGCAGGTTTTGGTTCTTCAGTGATGGCTTCATTTTTCAGCCTCGGAGTTTGATGCTGGATTTTCTGCACCTTTAAAGACAGAGTTAACGTAACGTTGGTAATGATTCACAGAAAACATTTCAGTCAGGAATAACTATGGTAAATTAATGTGTGTGTGTGTGTGTGGGGTGTGTGTGTGTGTGTGTGTGTGTGTGTGTGTGTGTGTGTGTGTGTGTGTGTGTGTGTGTGTGTGTGTAGGAAGCCCCCTATGTCATGCTGAAGAAAAATGCTGAGCTGTTTCAAGACAATGACCGTTATGAAGGTATGTCTACTGTACTGTGTGTGTGTGTGTGTTTAATGATGCTCAGTGTATACTTGTTTTATACTTGTGATAAAAGACTGATCACCATCACACCCAGGAGTTCTTGGTGGAACCTGCCGATTATTCTTTACAGTTGTTCTGATTCGGACACTAGATTCAGAAACACCTCTGATAATGATGTCCCAAGCTGTTTGATCCATATAAGAGGTATCCACTGTAAAAAAAAAAAAGAGAGAAAGACATTCTATCATTCATGTATTTGTACGTTTTACAAAGAGTTTAACGTGAGTCACACTGACAGTAATCAGATCAAATCCACACAATCAGTAGAATACAGCTGAAACATTGGTATTGGATCAGTCCTTAGTACTAGAATCTGAATGTTTAAGTGGGATCAGAACATTTCTTATATTGCAGTATTCAGTGTTCCATACTGTATTTTGTCTAACACTGCTGTTGTGTGTGTGTGCGTGTGTGTGTGTGTGTGTGTGTGCGCACGTTATTTTTGGACTGATGCTAGGTTACTGCGTTGACCTGGCTGCGGAGATTGCAAAGCACTGTGGTATACGCTACCAGCTAAGGATTGTGGGAGATGGCAAATACGGAGCTAGAGACGCAGAGACGAAGATCTGGAATGGTATGGTTGGAGAGCTGGTGTATGGGGTAAGATTTAAGACATGCACACACAGTAACATGGCTTATTCCATTTGAGCTGCACTCTCTCATTAAAGGTATAGCTGAGGTTATCTGACATGGGGGTGTGTGAGGTACTGATCTATAGTTAGTGTATTACTGATGTATAGTCAATGTGTTACCTGCTGTAGATTCAGTTTAGAGAAGCAGCAGGAGCATCGGTACAGGAGCAGAGGCTGTGTCCATACTACTACATTTTCATTTACAAGCTTTTTAAAACAAAACATTTTCCATCCAGACTATAGCACCTAAAAACACATACATACATGAGCAAACATGTACACTCGACAGGAAGAAGATTGTCTACTCTGCAGATGATTAGTTGCAAAAAATACTACAAATGAGGAACAGCAAAGACAGTCGCAGTGTTAAAATACAGAATTTAACTGAACAATTTGGTCAGTGCATTCACACACTTCAGACCATGTGCTTTGGATCATTAAAAAATAGAGCGCTTGAACTCATCTCTACTTTTACGTTTCCTCCAGATGTCCACACTGAGACTTTTTAGATTTAAACTCATCTCTTCCTCTACGTTTCCTCCTGTCGTTAAAACGACTCCAGAGTTTTCAGCCCACCCAACATTTGCTTAACACAGAACAACCAGGTCAGTGTGCAGGTCAGCAATGAAAAGAGAGCATACTGTAGATAAGAGGCAGGTCAGCTGTGCACTTGTTGAAAGAAGAAGAGGGTGCAACAGAGAGCATGGGGCAGCTGCTGGCTTCCTGCTGAGTGTGACATAGATTTATACAACAATCAGTTCCCCAGTTCGAGTTGTCTGGTTCTTGCGTTTCTGTCCAACAGCTGACTCAGGTGCACGAGGAGACCGCTGTCCAACCCTCTCCCTCTGTCTGTGTCTCTCCAACAGAAAGCAGACATTGCAGTTGCTCCCCTGACGATCACGCTTGTCCGTGAGGAGGTGATCGATTTCTCCAAACCCTTCATGTCTCTGGGAATCTCCATCATGATCAAAAAACCACAGAAATCCAAACCTGGAGTCTTCTCCTTTCTGGACCCGCTGGCCTATGAAATCTGGATGTGCATTGTCTTTGCCTATATAGGAGTTAGCGTTGTACTCTTTCTGGTAAGTGCTGTCTGTTTATGTGTATAGATGTGTTTTGTTCTCACTGGTACTAAACTGTCACCGTCAGCTGTAAGTGTCTGGACCTGTGTTACATACAACACCCCAAGAACACGTTTTAATGTAGACCTGCACTCAGGGCTCTCAGGAGTTCACCTCCATCTAATGACTGTACATTCATAGAGAAAGTCAAACGTTTAAGTGACAGGGAGTCATTCACTGTCTATGTCAACCAGCATCTCTTGGCGGCAGAGAGAAGCAGACTTACCTGCAGTTCTGGAGTAGCAGGTGAACTTGTGGAAGCCATTGCCCTGATAAACCTTTGTCTGTGCTCCTGCTCACTGATGAGATGTTGCCCTGTTTGGAGGAGGCTCACCACTGATCTTTGAGCCTGGTGTGTGTGTGTTCTCCTGTCAGGTGGCTCTACACACTGTGTGTTTCCAGTCTATCACAGTTAGTTACGTGTGTAAAACAAAAGAAATACACCAAAAACAGAGTAAAAATATGCTTCAGGTCGAGGTTACGTTCATAACGTGTATAGCACAACTTTATAGGGGCTATTTGTAAGTTTTGCTATTGCTACATAGCTAATGTTAGCATTACCAGCTGTTTTTACTTGCCAGCAAGTCTAAAAGAAACATTATGTGTTCAGCATCAAACTTCAGTTCTTTACTCACCAACAGCTGTCTCCAGAGGTGGAAAGAAACACCAGTGTTAACTCTAGTTTTGCTTCTATTTCTTCTACTAAAGTTAGCATGCTAACCAGCTAGCTTTTTGATACTGATTCACTGTAGCCTTCAGTCTGAAGAAGTCTGATACTCTGATAACTTCTTGTGTTGAAAACAAAAAGATGGCTGAAGCTCTTGGTGAGACTGGTAAGTAAAAAGCTGTTAATGCTAACGTTAGCTATGTAGCAATATATGTAGCAATAGCAAAATTTACAGATATCTCCTTTGATGCTAGCAGTTACATGGTGTGTATAGCTGTATTGATTAATAGATGGAGTAAATGGGTGTGAGACAGATGTGACTGTGTAGACAAACCTTTTGTCCTGTTTATCTGTGAGCTCAGCAGCTGTTACCGTTTTCTCCACTGGGACATTTTTAGTTGGTGTAACCACACTGAGTAAACTGTGGAAAAAGCAATACAGTGGCCTCGAGTTAAGATCTTTTTAATTTTGTTAAATTGCTGTTTCACAAAAAAAATGGTCAGGACTGAACATTAGCTGTCAACTTACAATTATTTAAAAACAACATTAACTGATTTTATAGTGTGACAGAGAGTTTTTCTTGAAACATACAATCTGCATACATAGTGCAGCAGATAGATAATCTTTCAAATGTGGATACAAGCACCAAAATTGGTATGTTTATCCCTCTGGGATAAATCCACTTGAATCTAATGTTATGTTTTTGACTCTGATTATGTCAAATTCACAATTGTTAAATTTTTTCAGAGTTATATTTGTAATTTCTAATTTGTAATGTAAAAAATTAGTAAAACATAATGTAATTGCAAAGCATTTGTTATTAATGAACAAATAATTGCGCCAAGTTTAGTACTTGTGTCCACATATGAAAGATTTCCCTGAGTCATCTGCTGCACTAACAGTTCAATCAAATGTGTAGGTTTTACAGTTGCAGTTTTCAGGCTGTTACTGATGTGTGCTACATGTACACTAGACAGTTTTAAAGTAAAGATATAAAATTGGACAATGTGTCACCCACCGAATCAGAAAAGGTACTCTGTCTTTGTGAAGGTTGGTCCACAGTCTCACACACCTGGCTCATTGCTCCAGGTGTCATGCCTGACTGTCACGCTGCCTGTAGAGGTATAACATGTGACTCAACATGTTCATGGTGCCTGTGTATTCAACCTTTGCTTTTGTCAGTACAAAATCCTGCATGTGTGCTTCCCCTGTATGATAGTCAACACCTCTCTTCCAAAGTAAGACTGTGTTTTCATTAAAGTCCAGTGCAATAGGGAAAATCAAACCAATAAATGCTATTATCATCCTGTAGGTATCCAGATTCAGCCCCTATGAGTGGACTTTGGAGGAGCCGGAGGACGGAGCGTTGCCCCTAACAACCGAGTCCACTAATGAGTTTGGGATCTTTAACTCCCTCTGGTTCTCTTTGGGCGCTTTCATGCGACAAGGTTGTGACATCTCACCAAGGTTGGTACGACATGTTCCTGTAGCTTGAATCACTTCCTGATCTGTTCTGTTAATCATGTATTTTCTCCACAGCTGTTGTCCACCCTGTCAGAGTCAAGGCAGTACATATGGATACAGTTGTACTGGACTGCACTGAGAGGTTTCTATTTGAGGGTGCCAGAGTGTTAGATATTCTCCATTCATTATGAAATGTTAAGTAATCCAGGAAGCAGAATATCAAATGCAAAATACAGAAGCAAAAAAGCTTAGTGAATCAACCAGTTTTAACTGGTCATAAATCTGATCTAATCTTCATCTAAGTCTTCAGCTCAGTCCACAGCATCTCTACTGGATAAAGGTCTGGGCTCTGACTGTGGACCACTCAAGAAGGTGGATTTTCTTTGATGTTCCAAAACATTTTAAGTTAAGATTTTCCTTAAAGTCTGAGTTAGGGTTTCCTTAAAATAAAAAGTTGCACAAAACACCTCAAGTCTTTTCCATAAGATTTCCTCAAAATATTCACTGAACTATTTAAGTGATTCTTTAAGTATAAGGCTAAGATAAGAAGAAAAACTTCAAGTCAGTTAAACTGTTGCACAAAAGACCTTAGAGACCAAAGTAAGGAAAAAAACTAAAGGTACCGCTGACTGTCTTAACATGGCTGCAACATGACTGAGTTTATGGCGAAAAATGCGCTACTAGGAGACACCCTTATACGTGGTTATATGCCACGTGATCTTTCCGGCCAGGTATAATCGAGGTATTTTATGTCCACAGACTGCTCACAATCAACGGTCTCCATGGAAACAGCTAAATTTTAACGCTGTAAAATCTCTTTCAATGCTGCAAATGCCTCAACGTCTTTCCTTAACTAAGGAAACCTTTTATGAGATTCTGTGCAGGGGCGCTTCGATGGCTCACCTGGTAGAGTGTCTACCATTAAGGTTCAGTCCTAACCGCAGCAGCCCGGGTTCAAGTCCGACATGTGGCCCTTTGCTGCATGTCATTTCTTTTCTCTCTGCCCAACTTTCCTTTCTCTCTCTCACTGTATCAAGAATAAAGGCATAAAAAGCTTGAAAACTTAAAAATGACTTAAAAAGAAAAGAACAGAGATTCTGTGCAACGCCCTTAATTAATTCCCTCAGCTAAGGAGAGATTAAACCTTAAGTGTAGAAAACGTATGGTGTTTTGTGCAACCGGCCCCTGGCTCACATTAGCTGATGCCTGTGTGTTCTGTAGAAGTCAAAGTGTCTCTAAACCACACCTCCAATCTGGTTTCACTGACTGACTCCAGGTCTGATAACTCCTGATTCCAGCTAGCTTCTGTTCATGTCATTAGTCTGTTGCAGCTACACTGTGAATGTTTGATCAAAAACAACACGATGATTGTTGTGTTGTTAGTTTAATAGATTGTGTTTGTTCATTGTTGTAACTTGGATGAAGATCTGATCCTATTTAAGGGTAAATTTATTCATACACTCAGGTGATTCCAAAGGTTCACTGATGCTTTCTTGTCACTGTGGCTGTAAACTGTGTATACATGATGGTAGAGCCACAGCTACATTTCTGACTGTAACATTTCCTGGTGACATGCTGACGATATACAGACAAACTGATGCAGACACAGTGCAGTGGGGATTTATTGTTATTTAGTGAGAGCTTCGAGCAATGAACAAACCAGGTGTCTTTCACACTGAACATATGTGCCAGTATCCCTGCGGAAACAAAACAGGCTCGTACAGCCGACCTCTCGACTTCATAACATCATTAAGCTAGCGATAAAACCGCGACAGGTTACTTCCTGTTCATTACACTTCAAAATAAAAGCACTCCCTGTCAACACTGTTCACCATAATACTAAATCATTACCATTACTAACTGACTAATTCAAGCAAACATTTTATTGTAACTTTAATTGTATGAAGTTACACAAGCTACTGAGGATCCTGGCTCTGTGTTAGCATAGCTACGTATGAGCTGTGTCCCAGTTCAGGGACCATATCCTTCAGAGGCTGTGTTCAAAGACAGAATGTGTCACAGCAGCGTGACTAGACTGTCCCATTTCAAAGACTTCATTAGATCTGTCTTTCTTTTCCTGGACAACAAAGACAACAATAGGTTTGGATAGATAGAGCAATAGATTCATTGCTCTCCGGTAATAAAAGCAAACAACACCGACAGAGAGCCAGAGGATTACACTGTTGAATGTGGCCTTAAAACCTCAAGTTTATGTGGGAAAAAAAGCTGTGTTGACAAGGTTGCAAGGTGAAAGGAGCTGAACTTTGTAAGGGCGGGAACAGCTGGTGACACAAAGCGAATATCCTTAGTAGACCAGACGTCTCATTTCAGTTCGGCTTTCGAAGGTGTGGCCCTACGTAGCTGTTGTAGACCGTGTTCCCTGAAGGATGCAGCCCCTGAATCGGGACACAGCCACTGTGTCCTGAGACCAGAGGAAACTCCCACAAAGGTCAGAGGTGGTTGTGCTAGACTCTGTACTCAGTATCCTGTAATAACAGCACACTCTGGTCTGCTTGTGTGTGTGTGTGTGTGTGTGTGTGTGTATGTGTGTGTATATATAGATCTCTGTCAGGTCGTATAGTGGGGGGTGTGTGGTGGTTCTTCACTTTGATCATCATCTCATCATACACGGCCAACCTGGCTGCCTTCCTGACCGTGGAGAGGATGGTGTCTCCCATCGAGAGTGCTGAGGACCTGGCTAAACAGACAGAGATCGCATATGGCACCCTGGACTCTGGATCCACCAAGGAGTTCTTCAGGGTAAGAACTTCTTCAGGGCCACACAAAGCTGACATGTTCAGATGAGAGCAGGCAGATGAAAGGACAAGACAACGTGTTGTTTGGTTAGAGAGCTGTTGTTTCTGAACAGAGCGTGGTGTTTGGATGACAGTGGTGGAGAGAGCTGTCTAACTCCACAGTCTCCCATAGGTCAGAGGTCAGAGGTCAAAGTACACATAGCTGTGAAAAGCAGAGTGAAGAAGTCACACAAACACTGAGCTAACAAACTTTTACAGTCCAGCTCTGCTCGGAGAACCAATCACACATCCTATCTGCACACACAGATGTTTGAGCTTCATTGTGCAGAATGATGAAGACGATGGTCAGAGTTTGTTTTCACCTTCATCTACTGAAGAGAGAATGATGCTTTGTGCTCATCTTAAATCTTTCCACGATCATCCGTTCAGTGAAGCAATAAATGGAGTCTGGATTTCTGAATGAAGGAGATTCATGTGGAAACTCTCTGGTCCTGCTCTGTGAGACCACTGACAGTCTGCTGGTCCACACCATAGACTGTAAATAAAGATGGACATAACCTCTATGACGTCACCCACAGGTTTCTAAAGAGTGGTTTTGAAGCTCAGAGTGAGCTGCTCCACTGTTGCCATCTTGGCAGCCCCTAAATCCCAGATAATCCAAAAAATGGACAAAGAGGAGGGGCGTGAGTGGAGCCGAGACTTTGGTGCATGATGGTTCGATAACTGTGGCAAACACACCCCCTGTTAGCATTGTTAGCACAGCTAACAGCTTGCTCGAAGGCTAACCCAAGGCTAATTCATTTCCTGGCAAATTAGCAAGTAAAAGAGCTAAGCTAACAAACCAGGTATGGTGGGTGCAGACACTGATTCCTGGTAATTAGTGCTAACATACAAATAAATAATACTACAGTTTCATTCACCTGTAAAAACAGGAGGAAAGTCTTCACCAATTATCTGTCTGATATTTGAAGAATCAACACCACAAATACACCTGTCACTCAAACCGGCCATGCCCTCAATTATACAGAACTTTAAGCCTTAATAAAATGTAAACAGGTGAGTTATATAAACCGTTGTCACGAGGTACGAAATTAGTTTTAGAGACCAAAACTGTTTTCTTTACCAGGCTGTAAAAGGGACATTTCTGCTGTAAAGTTGGACAATTCAACTTGTGAGTCTATGGGGATTGACTCACTGTTGGAACCAGACCTTAGCCAGAATCTAGTGGCCTTTAGAGGAACTGCAGTTTTTGGTACTCCAGTGTTGGCTTCATTTTTCAGCCATGGAGGTTGATGCTTAGTCAACACATCCAAAAAGGTTGGGAGTCCCTGTGTAACCAGCTCAGTGTGGACACACTCTGTGTCTCCCTCCACCTCCAGCCTCTGTTCTTTAAACAAATCCCCTTCATCCACCCCAGTGCTGTTCATGGCCCTGTAGTAATGGAAGGAGACTGACACAATTATGGATCTGAATAAAATTATAGATTCAAATAAAATTGCAGTTTTCACCATGCTTAATAGTACACTGTTGTTTACAGGAAAACTCCATCTTGAAATACCTTGTGCTTCAGGATTGACAGGGTACACACTACGTCACAGTGTCTCATCTGCGTCTGTCTCTGTTTTTAGCGCTCTAAAATCGCCTTGTTTGACAAGATGTGGCAGTACATGAAGTCAGCAGAACCCTCCGTCTTCGTCAAGAAGACGTCAGAGGGTGTCCTGCGTGTCAGGAAGTCCAAAGGGAAGTACGCCTACCTGCTGGAGTCCACCATGAATGAGTACATCGAGCAAAGGAAACCCTGTGACACCATGAAAGTGGGAGGAAACCTGGACTCCAAGGGCTACGGCATCGCCACGCCCAAAGGATCACCATTAAGGTGGGTGGATCAGTATAACAATGCTAGCCAACCTGCACTGCCATGTACCATTCACACTACTAACCTGCTGCCTAGCATACTGTCCCTCTCCCCATCCACTCGGCTCATTTCTCCACACTCTAAACTCTGACAGTGCCACTCACTCAGTGGCCTCGCGCTCTGTGCTTTTAGAATCTCCCTCAGCGTCCTGAGGTCATGATCAGTAGAAACACTGGCTGAGTGCCTGCTGTAGCAGTCAGGTGGTCATCAGCCAGTGTATGAGCTGAGGCTGTGCTCAGGTGCAGCCCTGCTCAGGAAAGTGTCCCACCATGGGGAGCGATGTAGTCTGGTCCCAAGCCTTAGTGCCAGTTGGGTGTTGCAGTATGCGAGTGTGATGAATGGAGCATGGCGGCTTACTCGTTGTTATAATAATCCACCTACCCTGATGACATCATCGCAGTGGTTTGTATTCTTACCATGGCTACCACCTCTGACCAATGGCTAGTGGTGGTTGCCGTGACAACTGGGGAAGGGCTGTTTGAGTTAAGATTTCAGGTCTTATTGTCAGCCATCCTCTGCTTGATCCATGTCCATTCAAAGTGACCTCATCTGTTTCTACTGAGGAGAATCTGGCTGCAGGTTCACAATGAGCTGGTTCTTCAAGACCTGGATCAAGGGGGTGTTGTCCATGAGTTTGTCATCTGAACACCTTTTTGTGTGTGTGTGTCTGTGTGTGTGTGTGTGTGTGTGTGTGTGTGTGTATGTCTACGTATGTGTCTACATTTGTTTTCCATTACAAGTGCACTGTGTCTCCTTCCTGTTTTATTCCAGTTTTCTAGATTTTTCAAGGCAGCCGTTTCTCAGGAAGGTTCTTAGCAAGGAAAATGGAGACTGTGTTCAACTAATACACCTTTAATTAATTAATTCCAATTAACTGAGCGCCACTACAGACAGTGACAGTGGTTTTCGTTCTATTTCATTTTCAGTTTCTTAAATCACTTTCAGAAACCAAGAGAAAAGATGAATATAGAAAAACTGTATATAAAAATAAAAGAGAAGCCAGACATACTGTGCAGTATCACTCTGTCTGTGCACAAGGACACACACACCTGCAAGAGCACAGAGGTGACACAGCATACAACCCTGCCGGACATGGGATTAAACAACACAAGGTTTAATTCATGAAATCGACAAACGTTTAATGAAAAGAAGAATCATTCAACATATTGGTGAGACCTGCTGTCACACAACAGGCCTCGTGACAGAACAGCTTCCTTCTCTTTTCAGGAAGTGATTTGTCAGTGACATAAAGCAGGTAGAGATCTGAGGAGCAGACCACATACTCTCTCCCTTCCCATCCTGACTTCAAACATCTCATTTCAGCAGCCGCAGAGATCTGATAGTTCACTGTCACCTAAATAAAATGAGAAAGTTCAAATCATTTTCCAGAAAGATGCAGCCACAGACATGTTGGCCCTGCCCTCTCAGCGTCAGACTCCAATGTACTTCCTTTTGAATGTGCATTAACACGTTTGCGTTTGCACATTACAGCGGGGGGGAGGGGGGTTGAGTTTAGATTGTGCAGCATTAACCAAACCAACAACAGCATCTGAAACAGTGTCTGGTCCCTCTGAAGATCACTGTGGACGAGTCCTTCTGTTTCTGAGACTGTTGTGACGGTGAGAACCTCAGCAGGATCCTCTGGACCTGGAGCTGAGAACCACACTCAGGATGTGGAAGTCAGGAAGTGTTAAGAACAGCCAACACATTGCCGGTTATTTGATGGATTTGTTGACCATAAGAAAAATATAGAATAACACAGTCTTATACTTTGAACTGTTGTCTTGATAAATATAAAACCTGTAGATATAATAAAGTTCATGTTACACAAACAAACCATGTACAGTGATAGCATTTAGACAAACAAACCATGTACAGTGATAGAACAGGACATCTTTATTTCTTTATTTCATTTATACTCACGTTTGGAACCCTAATTGTCGGGGCCAACATTTTTTAGAAAAATAAAAATACAGTTATACCCACAGTCTGTAACTTCTGCCTCTAGGGGTCTCTTAAAAAAAAGAAAAACAAAAAAATTCAGTGATTCGCAGATGCTCTTCAGTGACATAGGACGTCTCCAGTCTCTCAGCTTGTTTCTCTGATAACTTCAGATCCAGACGTCCGACGACTAAAATCCTTCATCTAGTTCAAATATAGAGCTGAAAACCACCAAGGTGTAAAAAGTGTATGTGACTTAAAACTAGATAAAAGTCAATGTTGAGCTTCTGTCAGACAAACACACTGACACATGATCATAGAGGATATGATGTCATTTACAGGTGACCAATGAAACGTTTCTTTGGTTTGAGAATTGATGGAAACATTTGTGATAATGTAAGAACACAACTCAACAACATATAAAACATAGCTCTAATTACTTTTAGACATTTTAATGTGGGAAAGTTACAGATTATAACTTTAATTAGAGTCATCATATTTAATGTTTAGCTTTAAATTGCAGCCTATTGGCCATGAACATCCTCTTCCCTGATGGTGCTGCAGCAGGTGTGTGTTTGGACAGTCAGACACACCCTCAGAGACAGGAAAGACCCTGCCTCCTGTTTCATTCTACATGTCTACGATGTTGACTGCATCACACTGTGTGTGTGTGTGTGTGTGTGTGTGTGTGTGTGTGTGTGTGTGTGTGTGTGTGTGTGTGTGTGTTTGTGTTTGTGTTTGTGTTTTGCTGCATGCAAGCCACTGTGTTTCTCACTCTTGTCTTTTCAGCACACTGCAGATGGCTGTATGATTCTGTGTGGTTCTGTATAGTTCTGTCTGCCCTGCCTGTATTCTGCAGAATGTTTTTAATGATGATCACTGCTACTGTATAATTCAAATTTGCAGTTAAAGCTGCATTAAGCGATTTTTTTTAAAAAAACACTAAAGTACAGCAGTAACTCATAGTAATGGGTCATGTATACTCCAGAATAGTGACTAGTCCAGTTCACAGCAGATCTATTATCTGAAACACAGTCCTCTTTACTAAAGAACTGCAGAGCACTGGGACTAGCACCTCTGCAGACCAGAGCTCCAGCTGTGACAGACTGGTAGGAGGAAGCAGATGAGATGAGTTGTGACATATTTCTGAATGAAGCAGAATATGTGGAGAGGGTTTAGTTAGACTCAAACCAAATGATCAAAAAGTGATTGGATATCTCAAAAGTGGGCGGGGCTATATGGCTAAAGAGAAATACAGAGCTAAGGAGATGTAGAGGACTATTAGCTGTTAACCTTCACATACACCTCCTTCATCTGTGTTGTTAAACTAGGATTACCAGCTGAAAAGACACACCTCTTACTGCAACACAGCTGTTACACAGCCTGTGTAAAAAGCCTGCAAGAGGCTGTTGTGATAAATGTCACACCTCTGATTCCTAAACGCTGACGAGCTCTCTTAACTCACACAAAGGAGCAGCATCATGTCGGATTTGTTCTGCTCAGTATAAACAAGCCAAGGCAGCATAATGAGGGGTCTTCATAAAGGTAATATATTTGGATATATCTGTTTAAAAGGGGCTGATGATACTGCCCTGCTAGCTGCCAGGAGTTGTTCAAGTTAAAGATTCTGACAGAAAATACTCAGATTTTGAATGATGAATGATACAGAAGTAGAGCTTGGAAAATGTATTTTTCATTTCATTGCATCTGATTTATCCAATCTCTGTTTTAAAGGTCCATACAGTATAAAGGTCCATGTGTTGTTTGATTATAAAGCAGGTCTAGGTTCTATATTGATACTGTGAAAGTATCAAAGCGCTCAGTCCACAGAGAAATGCACACAGCCTGTGTATTCAGAACTGAGCCTTTAAACCAGCCGTCAGGACTTATGGAAATTTGTGATGTCACAACAAGGCAGTCACCAGGCCCCAATCAGAAGAGAGGCTCAGAGCCTCCTCTATTCTGATTGGCTCACCAACCTGTTGATACTACAGCTCCAGAGAGAAGCCTGAGAGAGGAGATGTAAAAATACGTTGAGATGGTTTTTGGTTCTTAAAACCACAAATATATCTTGTTATGGATCAACACTTAAAATAAAACACAAGAGAAGAGGAAAATATGGAGCTTTAAGACAGGTATACAATATGAAAAACAGGCTGTAGGAGAAAGACATGACTACATTTCTATTCATATTAATCCAGTGGCTCAATTGATGGGTGTCTTCGTGTTTTGAATGGCATCATCAAAGCTAGCTACCAGGCTAATGTTGTTGACATGTTGAATGTCAGTACAGTCTTCAACGACCTTTCAGTCCTGGGACCAGTTGCACAAAACACTTGATTTTCACTAGATTTTCCTTTAAGTCTGACTTAAGGTTTCCTTAAAATAAAAGCAGTTGCAAAAAACACCTTTAAGTCTTTTCCTTAAGGTTTCTGTGAAGTTCCCGTCGACAGGAGGTTGAGAGAGCAGCACAGTCCTGTGATGTTGCCGGGTTCCTTGTTAACAGGTACAAGCTAATGCCAGCAAACAAATGGTCCCCATGGAAACAGTAAAATTTTACTGCTTAAAATCTCTTTCACTGCTGTAAATAATAACCTTTTTCCTAAAGTAAGGAAACCTTTTTAGGAGATTCTGTGCAACATCCTGAAGTAACTCCCTCAGCAAAGGAGAAATTAAACCTTCAGTGTCAGACTTAGAAGTAGAAAAGGTGTTTCGTGCAACTGGCCCCTGGTCCTCGTACATGGATATATGAGTTAGCTTGATCTGGTTATTGTTGATTTGACATGAATCTATACATATAGGCCAGAGATATGATGAGCAAAAGAAACAGGCTAAACCTCTCTGACTTTTGTCAGATTTAAGGCCTGTTGGTGTGATGGTTGTACAGGGGTGGAGAGTCAGTGAGAACCATTGGGGTTGGACTTTAGAGCAGTGAGTTTAGAGAAGTTACAGAGCAGGGAGGTGACTCATCACTGTCAACCTTTTTACATCACTTAACCCAATTTTAAGACAAAAATATC